CAGGAATGGAGCTGGAAGAGGAAAGGAAGTGAAAGACAAACCAAGGAATGCAGATTTGATAGAATTCAAGTCATCTATGAACTGAAGGGTTTTCTTCTTTAGCCTTGTTTTTAACTACCTTTTCTCCCTCGTTCCCCCAACTTCGCCTTACCCGACTTCAGTTTCACCTTTTCTTCTGTACTTCTGATAGAGCCAATGCCCAGTGTGACATGGTAAAGCCAGAAAGCATAACACAGAAGCCAAAGAACCAAGGTTCTCAAAAAATCAACCAGAAAATTTAGACTCTGAGAAACAGCTTCTACTGACTTAGAAGCCATCATGGACTAGTTCTAAGTTTGCTTTTGATGGAAAAGTACCAAAATCCATTGGTTCTGTTGATCAAAACCTGACAGATTGATTCAAATGTTCAAATTTATCTGATTTATCTAAGTACATTTCCATTTGAAACTTAGGGCACATTTTAAATTACTTAGATATCTTAAGGTGCATGAGCTCAAGACGTTCTTTCAGAAGACTTGCTACTACCGCTAGGTTTTCCTGGATGTGTGGACAAGCTGACATACTTGCCTTCTGAACTGTACCTTTCACAAGGATCAACGATTGTTTTCTCCCTATAGTATGTATAGGAATAGTAAATTATTGCATCATAAGGTAGTACAGAAAGATCTTAAAAAGATGCTTTTTATCAATACTGTTTACTGAAATTCATTTTAAAAACAAGCCGCTCCTTAATTGCACTACCACATACCCAGAAAGGAAATACAGCTGCCATGTGACGCTGGCAGTGATCTGTTTAAGAAGAGCCCAAATCCAAAACCGTATGGACTTTTCAAAGGTGCGTGTTGATTACGCTCCAAAGCTCTTCTTGTTTTCCCCACTGCCTAGAATGTTGGAGGGGAAACTAGAAAAATCTGTAGGCAACAAATCTCAGTGCCAACCATCATTAAAAACACGTCAGTCACAAGATTCTGTGGCTACGGATCGCTATTCAATGAATTACACTCCTGGCAAACAACTAACCCCGACCAAATCCACAAGACAACAACATCACAAAAGCAAAGGAGGAAATCCATGCACAGCCGTTTGAGGATCTCTTGGGGCTATGGTACAGTGATGACCAAAGGTGGAGTGACACCTGTGGGAAGGAGGGAGCGCATGTGGTATGTACTTCACAGAACCAGAGGGGCTCCTGACTCCTAGCTAGCCATCAACACTGGGTGGTTTCCTTTTGAGTCACTGACTTCTAAGCCAAGTTCAGTATGGGTGAGAACATATTGAAGCATCTGTCGTTAGACTATAATTTTTCTGACCACATGGTGAAATGTGTACAGGAGTAGTGAAGAAAACAGCAGTTTTACAAATATTTCACCTAAAGCACATACTTTTGACATCAAAAACATAAATCACATAAGGTACGAATATTGCTTTTTATCTTTTTTTTATATATACTTGTTCAATGCATTTATTTATCAATTCTTGTTTGGGAGAAGAACATAGTCATGAGATTAAGATTGCTGGGAAAACGTCAACAATCCCTTTGGTCCCAATGCTGAAATCAGCTGAGAAAAGCACATATTTAGAAAGGGAAACAAGAAACAGAGGCCACCAAAGAATCGTTTGAGCATCCTGTTTGCTACGTTTCAGAAAATGTGACAGTGATATTATAAAATAGTCATTTTCATATAAAAGATGGTTCTTGCAGCATCATTCACTTCTCCCTTCAGGAATCATGGTTACCGGGATCAGGTTTTGTTGTTTTTCTTTTTTTTTTTTTTAATGTTTTTTAAATGAGTCTCATTTGAAAACAAAAAACAATGTGATATTGTGCCTCCAAAAGTGAAGAGTAAGACCTTGTTTTGTTTTAATCAGTGCTTTAAGACAACGCAGGTGAAGCACTGAGGTTGGCCTTCATGAGGGGCAGAGCCATCAGACAGGCTCCTTTCTTCCAGAAGCCCCACTGTCGCGTGGAGCTCAGCGCAGCTGACCAGGAGCATAAGATGCTGTCTCAGTCAAGTGAGCTGTGGAGGTTCTCAGTTTCCAGAACAACGGCCACATAACACTGGGACCTACCCTTCCGCTTCTTCAATTGGTTCTGGTGGTGAGAGCAGAGAGGCTGATGGAATGACTGTACTTGTTCCTCGAGAGACTCGGTCTTGCTCCGTGTTTGCAGACAGGGAAGCCACAGCGATAGGCTGTAGCAGAGTGGTGGTCATGCCGGTGGTGACTGTCAGGCTGTGGCCAGAGCCTTTGAGGGTTAGATCTGGTGTGGGAAGAAGAGGCTTGAGGATGCTGACAAGGCAGAATGCAGAGCCGCTTTTCGGAATGAAATTCACCTTGTTTTTGTCAGGACAGTAGAAAGCTGGGATTTCATGAAGCTGTTTTGGTCTAGGCACAGAACAGACAAACCAGTACTTTAAAATCACTGAATTCTAGATACAAACTGTTTTCAAAAACTTGATAACGTAAAGCTACATAAAAGGAATACAGAACTCAAGCTATGTCAAAAGTTTCAAATGCCAACTAGGGAAGTGCTATTAGACAAATGATTCAAAATATGTATGTGAGAATGCCAGGAGGACCCATTCGTCCTCACTGCTGCTCTGAGTTCCCTGGCTAGTGCCGTTACCAAGCAGATGCCTTGGGCTGATACCACGGCATTTCACTGAGGAGCTAAGGTAGCCACGAGGAATAATATTTTTCTAAGACAAAAGAAAATCTAGCTGTTTAGAGATAAAAATTTGTTCCCACTACCATAATTTTTCCAAGGTCTGCACTATTCTGAGGGCAGAAGGCAAGGAAATTAATAAAAGAGAATGTCCATCTTTAGCTCAGTTCCACCATTGTATGACTAAACTTTGGAAGGCATGGGTTTTCTCTGCAAGTGCTTTAAAAAAATCTCTTTTCTAAGCAACAAAATGTAAATGTGAAATCAAAATAAAAAGTCCTTTTGCTTTGAAAGTTTTCATGAAAGCCAAATTCTTTCCTATTCTTAAGCCTTCCCGTAAATTAACCCAGAAGATTCCGGTGTTAATATTATTCCATAAAAACTAAAAATAATTTTAAAAATTAAATGGTTAAAGTAACATGGAAGTGCCACAAAATTACAATGAAATTAAAGTGTGAGAATCTCAGTAAATGAACAGTTAGAATGAAAAGGTCATATAATCATATAACAAAGTATTGTTATCATTGGTCCCAATGACAACTCGGCTCAATAAAAACCTAAGCAAATGGTGTAATGGTTACATCGTTGGATTCCCATGTAGTCAATGACAGCTCAAGTCCCGAGCCTGGTGGCTTGAAACTCACACGGGGCGTGTGTGTGTGTGCCCGCCCAAAATCCCAAGAGGAGAATGGAGAAGGGGACTGCAGTGTAGCCATCACCCAAGGGGTGATTTCTCATGCTTTCTCTGTGTCTCTCTTTCTGGCAAGTGCACACACCCCATGGGAAAAATATCTTAAAAAAAAAAAAACCTAAGTGTGCCAAGTCTGTACTAGATTCTGAGGACACAAAAATGAAATAATCTATAAGGAGGAAAAGAGCTAAATTTATATTTTGGGGGGAGGAGGGGTACTGCAGACAGAACTGTATTTCATATAATTAACCTTTCTCATTGAAAATGTAATTCGGGGACCAGCAGATGGTGTAATGGCTATGTTGCTGGACTCTCATGTGGTCGACTGCGGTTTGAGTTCCAGACCCAGTGGCTTAAACTCATGCTGGGTGCGTGTGCGTGCGTGCCCAAGATCCTAAGAGGAGAATGGAGGAGAAGGGATTGCAGCATGGCCATCCCCTCTGGGGGGGTGATTTCTCACTTTCTGTCTCTGTCTTTCTGGTGAGTGCACACACTCTATAGCAAAAACTTCTCAAAAAAAGAAAAAATAATGTAATTCAGAGAAGTGATCCATAAGCTTTACCAGACTGCTGAAGTTGTCTAGAGCACAGAAGAGGCTAACAGCTCTGCAAGACAATCTGATGGATGTGAAAACAAAGGTTTGTAAAAGGTTTAGAACAGCATAAGGGGGTGGGTAATATGACATGGAAGAAGAGGGAGTTTGGTAGGAAGACACAATATCTGAGCTAAGTTTTGAAGAATTCATTAACAACAGACCTGGAGAGTAGGCACTGAAAAGATGTGGGTTCCAGGCAGATAATACTTGGGGTGGGCAGATCTTATCGATCAGTAGTGAGCACTCTGCAGTCCCAGCTATGGGTGTGCACAGATGGTGCCAAGAGGCCTGGATTAGGTCCCTAGCCAGCTTCAACATGCCAGCATGACTATGTACCTGTAAACCTAGCTAACTGGGAGCTGGGGCAGAAGGACTGTGACATAATGGGACACTGTCAAAGATACTAATCTGTCTGCCTTTCTCTCCCTCTCTCTTTCATGAAGACAAAAAATAGTAAACACTACCCACAGATAGCTTTAGTACACACAATAATTTAAGAAGAAAGAAAAGTACATCATTAAAATTATGTTTTACATGTGCACTATTCTTTCTTGAATATAATGGAAACTTGCTAGGTTGAGCGTTCCTCTAGTGCCATAATAATATTTGCATGTATCATTATTATTATTATTATTATTAGTTTAGAGAGATTTTTGCTATCGGGTGCATGTGCTGGCCGGAGACACACTGACAGAGGAAGGGGAAGAGAGGGAGGTAGAGAGCGAGAGTGAGAGCGAGAGCAAGAGACAGAGAGAGAGAGAGAGAGAGTGAGAAATCACCCTGCAGAGGGGATGGTAATGCTGCATCCTCTTCTCCTCCATTCTCTTCTTGGGATTCTGGTCATGCACACACACGCACATGCCTGGCATGAGTTCCAAGCCACTGAGTCTGGGATTCAAACAGCAGTAGGCTATGTGAGAGAGTCCAGCACCTTAACCATCATGCCACCTACTGGCTTCTTGGATATACTGGGTCATTGGAAAAGTCATGGCACATTTCTGTATAGGAAAAATACATCATGGTTTTTCCAATGACCCAGTATTATTGATAACAAGAACACACATACCCCGCTATTTTTACATTTCAAAGTGTGTTTTCAATCCCTTAAAGAAGATAGGAAGCTGAGATTATGCTTCTGTAATTAAAAATGTTTGGGGTGGGGGCCAGCAGGTGGCATGGTGTTTAAGGTGCTGGACTCCCATGTGGCCGTGGTTTGCGTTCCAGACTTGGTGGCTTGCTTTCTCACCTTCTCTCTCTCTTTTGTGAGCACACATGCCCTATAGCAATTTAAATAATAACAAATAAAATGAAATAATCTTAAAAAAAGTTTGCCTTCTAATAACAGATCACTGTGCCCTAACACATATAATATATGGAACCAGCAGATGGCATAATGGTTATTTTGCTGTACTCCCTCATGGCCAACTGTGGTTCAAGTTCCGGATCTGGCAATTTAAAACTTGTGCAGGGCACATATGCATGCATGCCCAAAATCCTGAGAGAAGAATGGAGAAGGTATTGCAGTGTGGTCATTCCCACTGGGGGATGATTTCTTGCCTTCTGTTTGTTTCTCTGTCTCTTTGGCAAGCACATGCACCCGATAGCAAAAATCTCTCTCTCAAAAAAAAATAGTATGGTAGACCAAAACCTTAAGACCAAACCTACTTACACACGCACACCTTTTCTCCCTTTCCTTTAGATAAAAATATCAATAATAGTATGTAGTATTGATATAAATATCAATAGTAGTATTTAGCTCAGATATTGTATCCTGAGATGTTTAACAAATACTACAGTCTAAGGCAGATACCATAAAACATGGACTTACATAACAAATATTCAAAGTAATGTGGGGCCAGCAGGTGGTATAGTGGTTAAGGCACTGAACAGGATCCCACATGGCCAACCATGGTTTGAGTCCCAGACATGATGGCTTGATTTCTCACTTTCCCTCCCTCTCTGTCTCTCTCTGGTAAGCACGTGTGCCCTGTAACAACTTAAAAATAATAATAAGTAGTTCTTTTTTTTTTTTTTTTAAAGTGATGTCTGAAAAATAATTCAAATTATATCTTACTTAATCAACCATTTCTCTGCACTTAAGCAAACACTAACTGCCAGTAAGTAAATCAAGGAACTCAACTCCAGAAAGGCACATTTGGGCCAATTGATTTTTACTTAATAAAATGACCTGATTTCTTAAGAACACTTTAAAAAAAAAAAAAAAAAAAGGTTTATGCCAGCATTTTCAAATTGAGCCTAACAATCACCTGAGGTACTTGTTAAAGATGCAGAACTCAGGTCCTACCTCCATAACTAGAGGTTCACTAGGCCCAGGAATCTGTTAACATCCCAGGTGATGATGATGCAGAAGTTCAGAGAACAATCTGCAGAAATGTTGGCTTAAACTCTCAGCTGGCACCACTAAAATCTTACAGGATGACACATGAGAAAAAAACAAAAATAATAAACAGTTGCTAAAACAAGAATTTTCAATTACCATCACAGAAGCAGACAGGAAACTGGCATTTGGTATTTTCTAGTCGAGAAAAGTTGAAGGGATTCAAAAATAATGGTCTATGTGTGGTAAGATTATTCAGAATTTAACTTAAAGGAAGTACTGACAGGAGGACACATAAGAGAAACAAGTGTGTGCCACATTTCAAAATATTCTAAGATGTTCATGATAGAGGAAAAAGATGAACTGTGTGAACTAGACGAGGCTGGACAATCTCCATGTACTATTATAGGTTTCACTGTACGAAAAAGCCAAGGGGCCAGCAGATAGCTTGGTGGTTAAGGTGTTGGACTCCCACATGGCCAACCACAGTCTGAGTCCCAGACCCAGTGGCTTGAAAATCACACCAGGTACATGTGTGTGAGTGCCCAAGATCCTAGGAGAAGGGACTGCAGCATGGCTGGCCATCACCCTGGGGGGTTATTTCTCACTGTCTCTCTCTCTCTGTGTTTGTTTCTCCCATGAGTGCATGCACCCTATGGCAAAAACCTAAAAAGAAAAAGCCAAAAAGGTGGCTCTTAGACTTGCAGCCACTGTGACATGGGGGATGTTGGTGTGAGGGCTCAGCACTATCATGAATCCTCAAATAATGTTCATCACCTAATTTGTCCAATCTCATACATACCTTGAACCCTATAGACACGCTTGCAAAGCTAGGAGCCACAGCTACTAAAAATACAAAGCTGTGTACTTTTGGAGAGAGACGCAGCTGAGTAGAGTACCAGCCCACAGAAGAATGCAAGTATAGGAGATCACATACCAACGGCACTAGATACTCAGTTTAAAATTCTGCTTCTCACATTATCATCATCACAGTAACATAGATCTATAAAGTAACATAATTGTCCTATATTGGCAAATAAGACTTTAACTGTTTAAAGAACTAGAGACCAGGATGGGCAGGTGGTGTGTACTCCCACAGTTCAAGTCCCAGACCTGGTGGCTTGCTTTTTCACTTTCCCTCTCTCTCTTTGTGTCTCTCTCTGGTCATATTAAAAATAAATGAATGAATGAATAAAATTAAATAATTCTAAAAAAAAAAAAAATGGAGACCAGAGCCAACAGGTGGCATGGTTAAGGCGCTGGACTCCCACATGGCCAATGGTGGTACAAGTCCCAGACCTATCGGTTTGCTTTCTTACTTTCTCTGTCTCTCTGGTAAATTAAACAAGTCATAATTTAAAAAAAAAAAAAAAGAGAGAGAGAGAGAGAGATAACTGGAGATCAAAAATAGAAACTAAAAGGGACCTGATCTTTAAAGAAGGGAACCACACCTGTGAGATCCTGGTCTATCTTCAATAAATATACTGCTAAAGACAATGTGTGAACAAGACTGGATACAGGTTCAAAACTGACAGCCACAGAAGAGACCCTGGGGGCAACTGAGAAATATGAATAACCACTGGATATTAGTTTATACTAAGTATTATTGCTAACTTTCTTAGGTAATGATAATAGCACTGTGGTTTTATAGGAATACTGCGGTTACTTTTAGCAAACATTGTTAACTATATAATCTGGGTAGAAGGTATAAGGGCGAATCACTATACTATTTGTTCAACTTACTTGAAAATTCTCACAATGAACTTCTTAGGTGGGTACTTACGAGCATTCCTCAAAGACTTTGACCCTTTCACAGCCCTCAGGAGGTTCCCTTTTGAACATGTAACTGTTGTTAGGTTTTGGTGAGGTTGCATATTTGGGCAAAGGAGAGTTGTTCCCATTCTCTGCAAGAAATGACACATGGAGTTACTAAGAAATAGTACTTCATAAATGCACAGTCACGTCACGTTTAACTGTTCTTGGCCTCCACCCTCACCGTGAACTTGAGGGGCAGGCATAGTGCTTTGATCAATATTACCCCAACACAATTCCTGGTTTAAAAAAACAGAAAGAGAGAGAGAGACTTAGTGTTTGTTAAATCAAAGCACAGACAAAAGATGTTTCTTTTTCATTACAGTTATGATAGCCTAGGCCTGTATAACTTAATCCTCAGTACTGAATGCCAGTCTAACGGGCTGTCCTACTTCTAGTCTATATAGAGCAAATATACTTAAACGCTATTTCCATTTCTATCAGTGTTAAGTATCTGAAATTGTCCTTCATTGAGTGCTTATCATTAACTCTTGTCTGCCCTTCATAATTTCTCGGTTCGATTTCTCTGTTTCTCTGGCTACAACATCTGTTCTAGGTAGTCGGAGCCACCGCGTGGCACACAGCTCCTTTTGCCTATGAACTTCTTATCTAAAAGCAGCAGGTTCATTTTCTAAAATTTCCTTCAAAGTCTGGCTCAAAGGTATGAAATCTTCCCAAATTAATCCCACTAGAGGGAATACTTCTAAACTTCCACATTCCTGTTCACTGCCGACGTCTTCAGTTTACACTCTAGTAACTTTAAATTCCTGGTATGTTACAGAACTATTCTAAATTTTCAGTCTGTATCAGCTCAGTTACAAACTCCCTGCTGGCAGCAGCACTATGGCCCCGTTTTCTTTCCAAAAACTCAACACCAACCACTCACTAGTGCAGAATGACACTGAAATTTAAATTTATAAAGTTCTTACATATTACTGATGTGAAAGTAGAAAATATGAGATCTCAAGGGACACATTTTTTTTTTTGGAGAGGTTTTCGCTATAGGGCACGTGCGCTCGCCAGACAGACAGAGACATAGAGCCAGAAAGTGAGAAATCACCCCCCAGGGGGGATGGTCACGCTGCAATCTCTTCTCCTCCATTCTCCTCTCGGGATCTTGGGCATGCACACACAGGCGCCCGGCGTGAGTTTTCAGCCACCGGGTCCGGGACACGAACCGCGGTCGACTACGTGGGAGTCCAGCGACATAGCCATTACGCTAACTGTTGGTTCCCTCAAGGGACACATTTTAATAGCTGTGTTTTATCACAGCAAAAGCTAGCTAAAAAAAAAAAAAAAAAAAAAAGTCCGAATAACAACAGTTTACAACTCTCCATGGTTTAAAGTGACTTCGTCAGTGAATCTTCTGCTTTCTGCACTTGCTACAGTTTCAGTGATCTAGGCGATTGGAAGTAATGGACAGCCACAACCATGGAACTTAGGACATCTGACACTGTATGTAGGAGGTTCTAAGCGAGGGACTTCTGAATGGAACTGTAGAATTTACATCTAAGCAAGGGACCCTGAATGGAACTATAGAATTTACAAATGACTGTCACAGCGTTGCTTTCACGTACATACAGTAACAGGATTAGGCTAACAAAATATTGTCTTATTATAGATAGATGCAAGGATCATATTTGTTTTAAAAGGTAAGACTATTTGTAATTAATATTAAAACTGCTTCCATCTCCAGGTCCTTTTTAAGGTTCATAAGTATATTCCAACCTTTTCTTTTTAGGCTCATCTTGCCCATAAATATATGAATCAGTTTATTTCTAGTTAGAAATACCACAAATACAGAACCTAGAAAACACCAACTTGAAGGGCTTCATATATATATATATTTTTTTTTTTTTTGAGAGCTTTTTGCTATAGGGCACGGGGCTTTCCCAGAAAGACAGAGAGAGACAGAGAGAGAAAAATCACCACCACCACCACCACCCCCACCAGGGGGATGGCCACACTGCAATCCCTTCTCCTTCATTGTCCTCTCGGGATCTTGGGCACGCACGTACACGCGCCCTATGTGAGTTTAAGCCACCGGGTCCAGGACTCTAACCGTGGTCGACTACATGGGAGTCCAGCGACATAGCCATTACACCAACTGCTGGTCCCCTTCATATTCAACTAAGAAGATGAAGGTAATAGAATCATGACTAGTAAGATGACAGAAAACAACGTGCTTTTTAGGACAAATGTTCACCTCATTTATACCAAAAAGAATACTTTTCACTAATAAGAAGTGTAAAAAATAAAGTGCAAATGAAAGCCCATAAATGCATCTAAGTGGGCCAGCAACTGAGCATCACAGTAAAACCTACTCTTTGGTACTTCAATTTTTCTAAACCTATACTTTGAACACATTATCCTGGTAGCCTCAAAGTGTATGTGTTCCACTAGAAAATGAACAGAATCATGATAAAATGGGTGTCATTCAGTTATCATCTTGTAACAAACTCCCCCAGAATTGTACCTTTATCTCGAGGGTCACCAAGCAGGTCGTCAGCTGAGCAAGGACTCTCCTCACTACCTTCGTTGGAGATGGTGAGAAACGACGTGGGGGACACAGACTGAGAGCGGCTGCTGTTGTTGCTTCCCTTGTCTGCCCCACCAGGGGTCTGCGTGTCGATGCTGCGTGTGCTGCTACTTCTCTGCACCAGGGGGGGAGGGGCACGGTGGCCATCTGGAATATCTTGTGGCTGTTATAAAATTGTCAAAACATATGTGTACTTACCACTGATTTAAAAAATTCACCAGCAATGCACCCAATATCAAACCTCCCCTGTAGTGCCAGAGATTCGCAAGTCAGAAATCCTTCCTATTTATTAGGTCTCCATGTCACTATTTAGTGACATCCCTGTCTAATGACTCCCTCACTGATTGTTTTGAATGAAGACTTGATATGGAGAGGGAGAGGGGGGCAGAATACAACAGATGGCCAATGCTTATTAAACACATGGACTCCACTGAAATAATCCTCCCCTGTAGTGCCAGAGATTCGCAAGTCAGAAATCCTTCCTATTTATTAGGTCTCCATGTCACTATTTAGTGACATCCCTGTCTAATGACTCCCTCACTGATTGTTTTGAATGAAGACTTGATATGGAGAGGGAGAGGGGGGCAGAATACAACAGATGGCCAATGCTTATTAAACACATGGACTCCAATGAAATAATTATCGTTTGTTAAATGTTATTTTTAAAATTATACAAGTGGACTGTGGTAAAAGAGGAGAAATCTCAGTATAACATTGGGCTCCAAATTGGAAGAAAGGTTATCCATAGTGTGAACTATTATAGTAACACTTAAGGCCCTTGTTAGTTCTCTTTCTCCTCCTGCCCACTTTCCTAAAGAGCCCCCACTCCCCCAAGAAACCTTCCTAAATGAAGGAGAGGTTAATGCTACTTATAGGGGGAAATTAAGGAGACAAAGGAGAGCTTGTGTGACTCACTCAGCAGGGAAACCAGGAACCTGTAAGACTGATTCATCTACCTTTATCATTCCATGGAAAGTTTACCCCATCATGCAGAATGGAGGAGTGGGTATGCCTTCTTCTCTAAGCTGAATCATTTTTGTGTGTATTTAGTTAGTAGAAAGGATATGTATAAGATAAGTTCTAACTTCAGGATGATATAGCTCAGCATGTCAACTGAAACCAAATAGTAACAGATAAAAAACAAGGAGCAGGCTGATTCATGCTTAGTATTAGGTCGTTGAAAAAGTTATGACATGTTTTTTCTATGCCAAAAGGTGTCATAACTTTCCTGACAACCCAATATATTTGGTGTCATGTAGCCAGTCTTGCCCCAAATTAGTAAGCTTTTATTAAATGGAGTGAAAACAAATTGAGATGTTTATCACCTGTCCACTGATTTTTTTAAATACAGATAAATAATGCAAAGAAATGAAAACTTTTCATTCATTTGCTGCTACAGCCTGACTGTGTACCCTGAAAGTTCATGTGTTGCAATTTGGTTGTATTACGAAGGTATGAAGAGGAAACTTAATCTTACTATGGGATTAAGAAGTGAGGCCTTGGGATTGGTGGGTGGCATGGTGGTTGAGGTGCTGAACTCCCACATAGCTGACCATGGTTCGAGACCTGGACCTGGTGGCTTCCTTTCTCCCTTTCCCTCTCTCTTGTTCTCTTTGGTCAAATTAAAATAATAACAGTAGTAGTAATAATAATAAATAAAATAATTACTTAAAAAGAAAGCGTGAGGCCTTTGGGAGGTGATTAGGATTAAAGTCATCAGCTTGGAGCCCCTATGATTGACTCCTGGGGTTAATCAAGAGAAAGAGACAGAAACATGGATACGACAGACGGGCTCTTGCTCTACGTACCAACAAGACCCTTACCAGCTGGGGCTCCTAAATTTCATACCTCCAAATTATGAGCTGAGTACATCTCTATTTTTAAAAAAAGTATCCAGAATCCAGATTTCTGTTATTGGCAATACAATAGATAAAAACATTTATCAAAGTGAAAGTTTTTCAAAAGATAAATTTTCACTGTCTCTCAGTAAGAAGGAAGAAACCTAAGTAAATATGGAAAACAAGCTCATAAATTTTTTTTTAATTCTTTTTTTCTTAAGAGGTTTTTGCTATAGAGTGTGTGTGCTCACCAGAAAGACAGACAGAAAGCGAGAAATCACCCCCCAGGGGGGATGGCCATGCTGCAATCCCTTCTCCTCCATTCTCCTCTTGAGATCTTGGGCACGCACACACACACACCCAGTGTTGAGTTTAAGCCACTGGTTCCGGGACTTAAACCACTGTTGACTACATGGGAGTCCAGCGACATAGCCATTATGCTAACTGCTGGTCCAACTCATAAATTTATTAATAACTAGAAGAGCTCCTAAGTACAAGGATTCCCCACCCCCCACCCCACCATAGGGCATGTGCTCTTGCCTGAGAGAGACAGAAAAAGTGAGAGGGAAAGTGATAAATCATCCCCCCACCCCGAGGCAGGGATGGCCATGATGCAATCTCTTCTCCATTCTCCTCCTGGGATTTTGGGCATGTACACACACACATGCATCTGGCATGATTTTCAATTTGCCAGGTCTAGGACTCGAACCACAGTCAGCCATGTGGGAGTCTAGTGCCTTAACCACCACACCATCTGCTGGCCCCTGCAAGGATAATTTTAAGATATAAGATTACTGGGGCCAGCAGGTGGTATGGTGGCTAAGGGCACTAGATTCACACATTGCCACAGTGGTTCGAGTCCCAGACCTGGCAGCTTGTTTTCTCACTTTCCCCTTTTCTCTCTCTCTCACTCTGTCCCTTTCTGGTCAAATGTAAATAAATAAATAAATAAAGATAAATAAAATAACGATTTTTTTTTAAAAAAGGGTATCCAATTACTTACTATAAGCTGCTCTTCCTTTTCTCCAGTCTCTTTAATTATTATTTCAATCTCCTGATTTAATCCTTCCACACTGTTTCGGAACCGAGAGCCTGTTGATTTGGTGATGGGAATTACTGGAATAAGTGCACTCTTTGGAACAGGAGCCTTAAGAAAGCAGGGTGGTGGGAAGAGAAGAGGGGTTTAATATTACCTTTCAATGATCTAGATTGACATGACATAATTAAAAAGGTAGAACTAGAGTACATCATGTAAAAAGCTCTAAACGGATTAGAGACCACATGTAAACAATGAAATAATTTAAATGTTAGAAAAAAAATTAATGAATTCCTCTGTAACTTCAGCATAGGAAAAAGATTTCTATGACTCAAAAGCCATAATCAATTTTTAAAAACCAGCAATTTTATAAAAAGCATTCCACACATGATTTCGGCATCCCTATAAGTTAAGAATACCTGTTAAAGATAAACTCAAGGGAATATCAACCAGCCCAGTCAGCTGCCTGTCTATTTAGAGTTCCTATTTTTCACTGTTTCCATTTTAATGCTCAAAGCCAATAACTTCCCTCATTTCCCACAAGCCCCATCAGTAACCCAGCATTGGTTCCTCCTACTCTCTGTCCTAGCCTCACTCCCAAATCTTCATTTTCCTGTTTTAAAATGCATTTATTTTTATTTCTTTCAGACAGAGAGAGCAAATATAAGAAGTCATGTGAGGGACAGGCACCCCTGACAGGGTCTTGTCACACAGCAACCCATTCTCCTCATCTTTCTAGCTAGTCAGGATCTTGGGCTTAAGCGCACCTCATGTGTTTTAGATCACCTTGGCATCCGAACCCACAGTAAGCCATGTGCACTACCATATGCACTACCATGTGCACCATGAAAGCTGGGCCCTTGGTTATTTATTTTTACTTTGCCAGAAGGCACTCATGCTCAATGGGAGTAGGGGTGGAAGGGAAGCACCTCACAATGGGGTACATACTGCAATCCTTTCTCCATTTTTCCATCCTGTAAGGATTTGGGGCATGCATACATACATGTTCAATTTATTTTTGAAGTCATCAGGGCTGGGATTCAAATCATGTGGGATGCAGCTCCCTAAGTAACTAGGCTCTGTGGCCAGCTCCTATTTTAAAACAATTTTTAGATAGGGTCTCACTACATACTATCATCTGGCCTCAGCCTCCCAAGTTACTGAGACAATAGGTATACACCTCCACCTGTGGCTTTCAGGGTGGGCAGGGACTCAAATCCAGGCCTCCAATGTGGTGTGGCCTCAGCCTGCCACATACTGTCGACCAATGTATGCTGCCATAACTGGGATCATTTCCCTATTTTGACCTTCAATAGATGGACCACCATTTTAAAGTTTTCTTTTAAAATTTTCCTTTTATGTTCCTTATGTATCTACATACATTATAGCTAAAGATCAAATTCTGTATAAAAATTAAGAATCAGCAACAAGAAAGCCAAGGGAAGCTTTGGCCAATCATGAGCCTTCTAAGTCAATCTACATTATAACTTACATATGTTTCTCTCTGCTCCAAAGTGTGGGGTAAGACAGTGTGTCATGACACGCAACCTCAGGGAAGATGGGAAGAATATCTGCTAAAACAGTGGCTTACTGAGTAAGGGAGAGATATACAAAGTTACATTTTGAAGGATGGCCCAGTCGATGTGGCAAGGAGTAATGCAGCTCCCTGTGAGGCTAGAAGCCCATGCTTGACCATGGGTTTAGATCCCCAGGACATTCTGAAAACACTGAATATGTGCCCAGGATCCTGAGGAGCTGAAGGGCTAGAAAAATGGGAGCACAGTATGATGAGACTCTGTCGAGAGTGCTTTCTTCTGTGTTGACTGTGTGCACACACCCTATCATTAAAAAAAACTTTGAGGGGCTGGCAAGTGGCATGGTGGTTAAGGGCGCTGGACTCCCACATGGCTGACCACGGTTCAAGTCTTGGACCTGGTGGCTTGCTTTCTCACTTCCTCTCTCCCTCTGTGTGTCTCTCTGATCAAACTGGAAAATAATAATGATAATAATAATAAATAAAGTTAAATAAAATAATTCTTTAAAAAAAAAACTTTGAAGGATGAAAATCTACCTTGGTAGGCAAGTAAGATGGAAAAAGGTCTATTTAGTGATTCAACGGCGACACATGAAAGAAAAATGAATACATCTCCTAGTACACTAACCAGAGAGGTGAAAACTAATACTCAGAATGGTAAATAATCATGGCCAGCCACAGTGGCACAATTATAGCACAACTCTCTGCAACGCTAGAGGCCACATGAAAGATCAGAGTTCAGTTTCCAAGTCAACCTGTACATGCTAGGTGTGTATGCGTAGGATCCTGACTATTTGGAAAAGGCCAGGAAAGAAAGGTTTGCAGCATGAGAGTTGTTGAGGGTGTTTGTTTGCCTGTCTATGTCTGTCTGCCTCTCTCTTGTGAAAGAAAGAATGAAACTTTAGAAAGCACTTGAAGAAAAGTTCTTCCCTATCTTAAGGGCTTTTGATTCAGGGCCTCCATGTGGCCTTAATTCTTCTTATCCTGTCACCATTACTTTATTTCTGTCTTCTAGCAATCATTATCCTCTCATCTGGTCTCCTGCTCTTCAGCTTTTCTAAGCTATATAGCTATATTCTATAATAAAGGTCACAGTAGAAGTGCCTATTCTCTTGATTTCTGAATGACAAAATCTTTAAAATTTCAATAGCAATCATTTTCTGGGCTGGCACACAAAGATTCCAGTGCAGAACAGCAATTTTCACTTTAAAGTGCAATGTGCTTCTAACTCCTCAGATGAAAGTAGATTTTTTTTTCTCCTTTTTACCTCATTGTCCCTTGGCTCTCAAACACTCCTAGGCTACTATAAAAGTGTAGTGCCCTCAGCCCAGATGAATAAGAAAATCCTATGGGAAGGCCCCCTTGCTTGAGGCTGTAACAGCCAGAAACCACCTGCCCAACTCTTTAATTCTCACCTCAAAATTAGTTTGTGTGGCTGTGAAGATGCTGGCATCTCCCACTCTTTTGTTACTAATATCTGACTCTAATCTTCAAAGAATCCTGAAATGTGTTGAATATATTCTTGACTATTTCTTGAAATAATGTAAAAAGTCTGACTTTTTAAACATCTGAGGCTTTCTCATTTTTTGGAATCCACTGATATGTGAATCTCCTCTATGAAATCTTTCTAACCAATAGTTTCCCCTGAATTTCAAGGGAAAAACCTCATAGAAAAGTATGAGAGTTTCAGTCTACATATATCCACTGTAAGCCCAAGGAAAGATCTTTGTTATCTAGTAGAAGAAAAAAAAAATTCAGAGGAAGATGTTTTAAAAGGGTAATATTTTGGATTTTTTTCTATTTTCTTAGGAAAAATCACAGCTTTTTAGAGATATATACATATTTTACTTTTTAAAAAGATTTAATTATTTGTTATTTTAAATTTTGCTATAGGACATATGTGCTTACCAGAGAGAGAAAGAGAGAGAGAGAGAGACGAAAATGAGAAAGCAAGCCGCCAGGTCTAGCACTTGAACCATGGTCGGTCCTGTGGGAGTCCAGTTCCTTAACGACAATGCCACCTACTGGCCCTAGAGATATAATTTTTCTATTAGACTTTACGTTTTCAAATTTTCTACAATGCATATGCAAATGCTTTCATCATTAAAAAGTTTAATAAGAGGACCAGCCCTGGTGTATAGGGAACTGGATCCCACACAACCTTCTTGTGGCTCAAATCCTGACATCTGAAGCTTGGAAAACATGCAGGGCACATGTACATGCATGTCCCAAATCTTGATAGGAGGATAAGTGGAGAAAAAGAGAACTGTGGTATGACCATGCCCCACCAGGGTGATTTCTATTTCTGGCATACATATGTGCCCTTTGGCAATCAATCAATTTAAAAAGTTTATAAGAAACTGGCATATAACAAAGCTATAGATTTTGGTAGACTGTCTCTGTGGAGAGGAATTCTTTTTTTTTTTTTTTTTTTTGAGAGGTTTTTGCTATAGTGTGCGTGCGCTCGCCAGACAGAGAGAGAGAGAATTAGAGACAGAAAGCGAGAAATCACCCCCCCAGGGGGGATGGTCATGCCGCAATCCCTTCTCCTCCATTCTCCTCTCGGAATCTTGGGCATGCATGCACACGCGCCTGGCGTGAGTTTTAAGTCACCAGGTCCAGGACGCGAACTGCAGTCGACTACATGGGAGTCCAGCGACATAGCCATTACGCTAACTGCTGGTTCCCACTGTGGAAAGGAATTCTTGAGACAGAATTGAAGAAAGCAACCCCACTTACAATAGCTACAAAACAAATAAGATGCCAAGGAATCAATCTAACCAAAGATGTAAAAGACCTTTACGAGAAAAATTGAAAAAAGAAATTGAGTATTATTTAAAAAAAAAAAGGACATCCTATGCTTTTAGATCAGAAGAATCAGTATAATAAAAATGTCAGTCTTACCCAAATTAATCTACATATTTAATACAATGCTGATCTAATTACCTGAGACATTCTCCACAGAAGTAGAAAAACTATTTAGAAACTTTGTCTGGAAGCAAAAATGACCTTGTATTGCCAAGGCAATACTGTATCAAAATAATAAACCAGAAAGCATCTCACTATCTGCTTTTATTTTTCTTAAAGAACTCATTTTTTTAGTTTTCTTTATTTATTTTAATTGATCAGAGAGGGACAGAGTGAGAGAGAGAGAGAGAAGAAAAGTGAGAAAGCAAGCCACTAGGTCTGAGACCTGAACTGCAGTTGGCCATGCCCTTAATCACCATGACACCTGCTGGCCCCTCAACTTTAAAATATACTACAAAGCAGTGATAATTAAATCACCATTGGGGGAGGGGACACCATGGTACTAATATAAAGGCAGATAAATAGACCAATGGAAGAAAATAGAGAATTCAGAAATAAACTCAAATCATACAGTTAACTGATCTTTGAAAAAGGTTATAAGACAATGCAATGGAGAAAAGAAAGTCTCTTTGGCAAATAGTGTTGGGAAAATTGGATAGCCATCTGTTAAAAAAATGAAACTGGACCCCTATCTCTCACCATTAGCTAGAATGAACTCAAAATGGATCAAAGAGCAGAGACTTAAATATAAAGCCTTTAACTACAAAACTACTGGTACAAAATGTAGGGGAAACTTTTGAAGACAATAGAGTATATACAAAGATTACTTTCTTATTTTTTTTAAGAGAGAGATTTTTGCTATAGGGCACTTGGACTCGCCAGAGAGACAGAAAGTGAGAAATCACTCCCTGGGGGATGGCCATACAGCAATCCTTTCTCCTCCATTCTCCTGTAGGGATCTTGGGCACAGATGCCATGTACCCAGTGTGAGGTTTAACATGCTGGGTCCAGGACTCAAATAGCACTCGGCTACATGGGAATTCAGCGACATGACTGTTACATCATCTACTGGTCCTGCAAAGATATCTTTTCTTTTTTTTAAAGATTAATTTAACTTTATTTTTTAATTTTAATTTGACCAGAGAGGGACAGAGTGAATGAGTGAGTGAGAGAGAGAGAGAGAGAGAGAAAGGAAGCCACCAGGTTCAGGACTCCAACTGTGGTCAGCTTTATGGGAGCCTAGCACCCTTAACCACCATGCCACCTACTAGCCCAACTGCAAAGATTTCTTAAATAAGACCCTAAAGTACAGGCAATGGTAGTCCCTAAAATAGACAAGTAGGATTATATTAAGCTAAAAAGCTCCCTCATAGCAAAATAAACTATAAAGTGAAAAGACAACCTTTGGAATGGGAAAAAATATTTGCAAATTATGCCTCAGTTAAGAGACTGATAATCTAGAATATATAAGGAACTCAAGCAGCTTACCCATAAAAAAAGAAATAATCCAAGTTCTATTTTCTATTCTTTATCTTCTCTGCAAAAGGATGTTTCAAAATTAAACAAACATGAATTTCATGCAGTCTCTAATTTTATTAATCAAATTCAACTTGTAAGGAAAAACGTAAATTTTGGATAATTTTACTACTTTAAAATTGCTGATTTTAATGCAATTTAAAAAGAAAATCTCAGAAATGTACAAGCTCCTAAAACTGTTCATTTAATTCAATCCTCATCACTCAATTTAATCCTTATTCTACTTGGGTGAAAGTATAGATTGGGAATAAAAAATGGCTTTATCTTTTAGAAACACATATAAATTATGACAAAATTAGAGGGAAAGGCTGGCAAATTTATGTGTAAAACATCTAGATCTTCAGCCTTTTGAGAGTGAAAAGATTTAGTTTTTAATTGATATTCTAAGTTTAATACTTACTTAAAATTTTCATTTTTGGCCAATTTTACACTTCTGTTTCTCCAGAAATAAATCTTGTTTATATAGGCTTTTAATGTATTACTGTATACTTTCCAATTACCATATCTTTTTTTTTTTTTTTTTTTTGGAGAGGTTTTTGCTATAGGGCGTGTGCACTCGCCAGACAGACAGAGACATAGAGACAGAAAGCGAGAAATCACCCCCCAGGGGGGATGGTCACGCAGCAATCCTTCTCCTCCATTCTCCTCTCAGGATCTTGGGCACGCACGCACACGCGCCCGACATGAGTTTTAAGCCACCGGGTCCAGGACGCGAACCGTGGTCGACTACGTGGGAGTCCAGCGACATAGCCATTACGCTAACTGCTAATTCCCCCAATTACCATATTTTATATATAGAAAAAAGCTATTGGAAACTACAACCAAACTATAAATCCGCAAAATCAAATTTGACCCACATATAAATATTTTAGGACCAAATCAGTTTAAAAAGTATATTTTTGTGCCCATAACTTTCTATTGTAAGCATTCCACGTATATTTAGCAATTATCAGAGACTATCATCCTATAAAAAGAGTTGGCAAACTTTTTCTCTAAGGGGTCAAACAATAAATATTTTAGGCTTTGTGTTTCAGATAAACTTTGTCATAACTAGTCAAGTACACTGTTGTAGTATGGAAGAAGCCATAGACAGGACATTATAAATGACTGTGGCTACATTCCAATAAAACCTTATGTACAAAAATAGGTAATAGGCCATACTTGGCTTCTAGGTCATAGTTTGCAAACTCCAGACTTATAAAATAATCTGAAAATTACAGAACCAAGTCTTTTAGTTTCCTTCAACCTCAGAGGGCCTATTGCCTTCTACTGAGATAGAAAATTATATCTAGGCTCTCCAAAAGGTTTTCTTCTGGGACTTGAAAGATTCAATGGCACTTGAAAAGAACTTTCTCTACTTGCCAAGGGAGCTCAGCCAATTGCAAATCAGTTAAAGAACAGTGATCCCTTGGCGAGCCATTGAGAGCAGTTCAGAGAGCTTTATTAAGGAATCAATGTAGGTAAAGGTTTGTCCTGCCAAAAGACTTTGTGGGGTGGGTATTATGTTATTATTCCCAAATTTCAGATGAGGAAACTTGAGACGTAAAAAAGGAAAGTTACTCATCCAAGATCTATTCCATAGCCAATGCTAACTAACATCTGTATATTATTCTGGCTCAAAATATTAAACTAATAAAGATAAAAGTATGGCAAATAAAAATATGTAATCAACTATGTCTCCTAAAAGTCATATCTAGGCTACCAAAGGAAAGTATAATTTTTTTAACTTTTTTTTTTTTTAACGAAAACTATAACTTAGTACTTAAACCACTCTGTTTTGAACATGTTTTTTGGAGCTTTTAAAAAAATGTAGTCTTTTTCTTTCTTTCTTTCTTTCATGAGAGACAGATTGAGAGGAAAAGGTAAGCACCTCAACAGGGTCTCACACCCCAATCCTCCATCCAGCCAGAATCAACAGGCACCCATGCACGTGCCTGGTGTGTACAGGTTTGATCTTCCATGTGGCTTCTAGCACCGGTGCTCCTACCTGACACTGGTTAATAGCCGCATGGTTGCCATGGAATGGAGACTGTCTTTCTTTATCTCGATGATGCCGACTGCTGTGTTTACTTCTCTGCAACTGCTGACGTAATTTTGCAATCTGAAAAGAGAAAAAATAAGTACATCAGAGTGTTTTCCATACCAAATAGGAACACTCTCTTGCTTAATAAGAACCAGTAAAACTCACAATAAATCCTTTGAATTTTTAATCTGATTACACAAAAATTTTACACATATGTGCATATATACATACTTTTTTAGAAGAAACAAAATTATATTCCAATATTGTTGAGTACTAAATAAATAAAACTTTTAGCACTTAGAATAAACTTCATAGTTTTCATGTAGAATTTTTTTTTTTTTAGAGGTTTTTGTTATAGGGTGCGTGCACTTGCCAGAAAGACAGACAGACAGAGACAGAAAGCGAGAAATCCCCCCACACAAGGGACAGCCACATTGCAATCCCTTCTCCTCCATTCTGGGATCTTGGGCACGCATGTACATGCACCCAGCGTGAGTTTAAGCTGCTGGCTCTGGTACTCAAACCATGGTCGATTACATGGGAGTCCAGTGACATAGCCATTATGCCAACTGCTGGTCCCCTACTTTCACATAGAATTTTAAAAAATGGTAATTATTCTCTCAGTGCCCTTAGTGTAAGTCAATTTTTATTTATATTTTTTAATCTAGCACCTAACCTTCAAGAGCTCCAAAATTAAATAGTATTTAAAAATCAATTTGAACCATAAAATGCATTCACAGACATAATCTTAAGTAATCAATGCAATTTCAATTATATTTCATATTATTCCTTGACTGAATTCTTTTATTTCTACATTGTGTAAAATGCAAATGTCATTAACTATAGCACGAAAATGGCAGTCACAGCATACAAACATAGTTAACTTGCTTATACTGGGTTATTAAATTTCAGAAGCACTGTATATACAGAAAAATAATCCATATGAATTTGTGGTATCACTATAACATTATAAATATGATGTGTATATTATACTGACAAGCGTGAACTCTTGTTTTCTGGCCTACAGTAAAAGCTGGATGTAGTGATGCACAGCCACAGTTTTGTAGGAGGCTGAGGCCAGAGGATTGCGAGTTTGCAGCCAGCTCGGGGGACATAGCAAGACCTTGTCTTTAAAAAGGGAGGGGGAAGGCAAAGAACTAGATCTGATAATGTGTACATTTCCCTATCCAAATCTTTACCAAATCAACTCAATAATATTTTCTGTTGTTATTTCTCAAGTTAAAAAAAAAAAAAAAAAAGGAAAATCAATGGGAAATAACAAATCCCTGCTGCCAACAATTTCAAGCAACAAGCCAGGGAAAGGATCAGATACCCACACCCATTTCCTTGGAACCATTTTCCTGACCTCTTTAAGTTGATCTGTACTGCCCCAGGATGCTGAGCGCTTGTGAGACCCTTTCTTCTTTTCTGAGTATTCTTCTGCCCATGCACTTTCTGTCTATAAGGAAAAAGCAGGAAGGGATATTTTAATAAATCATTTAACAATAATGTCTACCATATTTTTCTATGATAAAATCCATTCCCACTAAACATAAATTAGGTTATTAGAAAGTATTTAAAATTAAACAAAGTATCTTTAATTTCTCCAGCACTGGTTATTTAACTGTAAATAATATTTCAGCAGATTTCTTTCATTCCTATTACTAATAAAATCCAGCAAATATTTTTACAAAATTACAATTATACTATAAGTACTATAGCATTTATTGAATAAAGTTAAGGACAGAGAAGCGTGATAATAATAGCAGCTAATTTTTGTGCTCTTATGTGCTAGGCACTATGCTTTCATACACTCTTTTCATTTAGCACATATAAAAAGTTCCACAAGTTTTGTAGATTAAGGAAACTGTGACAATGAGAGGTCAGATACATTGCCTAAGGTCTAAGAAGCCACAAAGCCAAGAAATAAACCTAAGACCCCAGAGCCGTAATCTTAACCCCTATTCTAACCTATATTGCTTTAAGTGGGACCAGCAGTTAGCGTAATGACTATATCGCTGGACTCCCATGTAGTCGACCGCGGTTCACATCCCAGACCCAGTGGCTCACACCGGGCGCATGTGCATGCATGCCCAAGATTCCGAGAGGAGAATGGAGGAGAAGGGATTGCAGTGTGGCCATCCCCCTGGAGGGTGATTTCTCGCTTTCTGTCTCTCTGTCTCTGTCTGGCAAGCGCACGTGCCCTATGGCAAAAACCCCTCCAAAAAAAAAAAACCGAAAAAAAAAAAATTAAATCTTCAGTGGTTATACCAAACTCATCAGAAAAGAAATACAAATGGGTTCTTGGCAAATGAAAATATACTCAACCTCACCCATAAGAGAGATGCAATTTAAAACTTTGCCAAGACTGGACAATGGGATAACATAAACTCCTTTACAATGCTGATAAAGGAGCCTTTATAAAGAGGGATTTTACAACTGTTGTCAAAGTTATAATTGCACACACAGTTTGACACGGCACCCCCTCTTTTGGTAATTATCCTGCAGATGTACAAAATATATATGACATATTCATATTATTCCTTTTTTCTTTTTTTGAGAGGTTTTCGCTATAGGGCGTGTGCGCTCGCCAGACAGAGAGAGACAGAGAGACAGAAAGCGAGAAATCACCCCCCAGGAGAGAAGGTCACGCCGCGATCCCTTCTCCTCCATTCTCCTCTCGGGATCTTGGGCATGCATGCACACACGCCCGGCGTGAGTTCTAAGCCACCGGGTCTGGGACGCGAACCACGGTTGACTACGTGGGAATCCAGCGACATAGCCATTAAGCTAACTGCTGGTTCCCCCATATTATTCCTGTAATACTGTTTTTACAAGTAAAAGATTGGAACAATGTAAATAAATTGGATCTCCTTAGGTCTGGCTAAATAAATTATGGTATTGTCTTTATAACAGAATACTATGCAGCTGTAAAAATGAACAAGGAAACTGACAATATATAGATATGAAATAATCTTCACCTATATAGTTAAGTGAAAAAATTTTAAACTTAGTATACTGTGCACAGCAGCTGCCACTACTTGAGACTGCCATAAAAAATATAAATGTATGTAAATTATCTTTACACAAATATACATGGTAACAAAAAAAATTGGTGTCAATAGCTGCCTCCTGGCAGGAAGGCCCTTTAATGTATATCCTCTGTACCTCTTGAATTTTATACTACAGGAATGAATATATAAACCTATTTAAAACAATAAAAAAGTACTCAGAAAACACTGTGCAGATTAAATATCCTTTTTACTCCTCACTACCAATTACCAATCATAAAAACGTCTAGTTTCAAACAGAGGAAAAAAAAATTTCCCCAAATCAAGAAATCGTGTTCCTAATTATTCATTACCCCAAGCCGGGATCTCCCCCTTATAACTGAAAGGACCCCATTTTGATACTCTCAACTCAATCAGAATGAAACACTGCAATTTGTTCAACTCCCCATCATTCTAAGCTCTATGCCACTTTAGAGCCACCAAGTACTGTAGTATTTGTCGAGATCCCTATTATTTCTCATATTAGGGTCCATAGGCTCTAAACATCAGTTGTTAAACATCTGTCACAAAGACCAACCTAACTTAGAATGTTTCCACGTCAAACAAAACAAAACAAAGCATACAAACACCAAACGAGAATGTATTTATTGAGCCAGCCTCAAAGCTTAGCGGTTAAGGCAGCTGGACCCAACATGGCTGACTGTGGTTTGAGTCCTGGGACAGCTAGCTTGGTAAAACACACCAGGTAGGGTCAGCAAATGGCATGGTGGTTAAGGAGCTGGACTCTCACATGGCTGACTACAGTTTTGAGTCCTGGACCTAGTGGTTTGAAACTCATACTAGGCACATTACGTGTATGCCCAAAGTCATTGGAGGAGAGTGGAGGAGAATGGAGAAGAGATTACGGCATGGCCAACCCCTGGTGTTTTTTTCCCTCTCACTGTGCTGGTCCACAGGGCATGAAACCTATGGCAAAAATCTTTAGAGAAAAAAAGAAAAAATCTATCAGGCATGTGTGTTTGCAGTGGCTTGAAACTCACACTGGGCACATGTACATGTATGCCCAAAATCCCAGGAGGAGAATGAAGAAGAGATTGCAGCCATCCCCCCAAGGTGGTAATTTCTCACTTTCTCCTTCACTGTCTCTGTCCCTCTCTTTTTCTCTTTTGACAACCTAAGTCAAAAATCTCTTAAGAAAACATATATGGGGACCAACAGTTAGCGTAATGGCTATGTCGCTGGGCTCCCACGTAGTCGACCGCGGTTCGAGTCCTGGACCCAGTGGCTTAAACTCATGCCAGGCACGTGTGCGTGTGTGCCCAAGATCCTGAGAGGAGAATGGAAGAGAAGGGATGGTGGCGTGGCCATCCCCCCGGGGGGGTGATTTCTCGCTTTTTGTCTCTCTCTGTCTTTCTGGCGAGCACACGAGCCCTATAGCAAAAACCTCTTAAAAAGAAAAAGTATCAATGTGATGAAAGTTGGAGCAACTGTTCCAGATTAAAGGATAAAGAGAGGAGAAGATTCCTCATGGCTCCTGTGAAGTAGTGATTGCAGGGTAAAAGTGAAATGAAGATTTCCTACTGATAATTCAGTCTCCAGCAAACAAGTTAGGGTGGCAGGAGAGGCGAGAGGCAGGCCTTCAGGAAAAGATTCCTCATGGCTCCTGTGAAGTAGGTATTTCAGAGTAAAAGAGAAATGAAGATTTCCTACTGATAATTTAGCCTCCAGCAAACAAGCTAGAGTGGTAGGGAGCTCTTCTAGTTTTCTATCTCTGTCTCTGTGTCTCTGCTTCTGTCTTCTCATTTTTTTGGTAATTTTTCCTTTTTAAAATTTTTTAAAGATTTTCTATTTTGTGCTTTTTTTTAAAAAGAAAAACAATGATAATTTTTTTTTAGTTTTATTCTTCTCTTTTTTTCCTGTTTCTTTGTTGTTATTTCTCTTTCTCTTTTTTGTTTGCTTTTTTCTCATCTCTCCGCTCCTCAGTATCCATTTAACTGTGTTTCTAGATGGATCTAAGGGCACTGTAGCTAAACATCCAAATACTATTAGGGTTAACATATTCCTCAATATCTACTGAATCTGCTGCACAAAGCAATCATAATAGAATGGCAAAGAGGTTCCAGATCAACTCTTTCTGCTTGCTCCTGAATATTCAGATTGAATTTCGAAAATTAGGAAGAAACATACCATCCATCAGCTGACTAGAAATCACCACAGGACCACAAGAAATATGGGGAAACAAGAAAATACCTCTCCTCCAAGGGAAAAGAATAACTCCTCTTCATCCACAAGCAGTCCAATGGAAATCATGGAAATGACTGATAAAGAATTGAGAACATTCATAATGGTGAAGCTCACAGAGGTAGAAGAGGAGAGAGAAAATGAACTGCAGAAGAGAAAGGAGAAAGAAGCTGATGAGTTCCAGGAGGTGAGGAAATTCTTGCAAGATCTAAAAAAGTAATTACACGCTTTACAAAAGAGTCAAAGGGAACTGTTAGAAATGAAGTCTATAATACAGGAAGTCAAAATCTCCCTTGAAAGTATTAAAAGCAGACTAGGTCATACAGAAAATAGAATTTCAGACATAGAAAACTGCTGGCCTAGAAAAATCCACCATGATGACTGAGAAAATTGTCCAAAAAAATGAGAATAATGTATGAGAAGTACTAGATACCATCAAACATCCAAACATCCAGATAATGGGCATTCCAGAAGGTGAAGAGACCCATAAGGGCATTGATAATCTATTCCATGAAATCCTGCAAGAAAACTTTCCAAACCTAGAGAGGCACTCAAAGATCCAGTCCCAAGAAATATAGAATCAACCCAGGAAGATCTTCTCCAAGACACATTATAGTCAGGTTGACCAAAATCACAAAGACAAGATATTAAGATTGGCAAGAGAAAAACATCAAGTTACGTACAAAGGATATCCCTTAGGCTAACAGCGGATCTCTCATCGGAAACAATGCAAGCGAGGAAAGAATGGGAAAATATATATATTTTCAAAGTGTTAAGAGAAAAGCAATTTCAGCCGAGAATACTGTACCCGGCAAGATTATCTTTCACATGGGAAGACAAGACAAGAACATTCTCAGATAAACAAAACCTGAAAGAATTTACCAGCACCAGGATCCCGAGAGGAGAATGGAGGAGAAGGGATTGCGGCGTGACCATCCCCCCTGGGGGAGTGATTTCTCGCTTTCTGTCTCTAAGTCTCTCTCCGTCTGTCTGGTGAGCGTACACACCCTATAGCGAAAACCTCTCCCCCAAAAAAGAAATAAGAGTTCAAAAACTAAGAAAATGGCCAACTTAATCATAGGGACAAGTCTGGAGTTGACTATTATATCTCAGAATTTAATTGGGAAAAATGAACCACAACAGAAGATAAAGTACATGAGACTGAATTGGTGAAGTATAATTTTATGATTTTTTTCTTTCTTTTGGA